TTCGTGAAATTAACAATACCCCGAGCATCTTAGAAAATGTCTTTAATTCTTTGAGGAACAGGTGTGAAAAGTGCTTGGAACAAGGAGGGGGACACTTTCAGCAGCTGCTTTAATTTATTGTTATAACAAGGAGGGGGACACTTTCCGCAGCTCCTTTAATTGTTTGTTATTGTTATCACGATTAGTCTTTAAAATAAAGTTATATAGTCATTAACGTTATTGAAACTGACAGCTGCTATACAGCTCGTTGAGAAATGAGGTTAAGTTGGTCGCTATAAGCTACACCCTACGTCCAATGTGTCAGAGCCAACTTCGACCACGTTTTTATTTGAACGCTCGTTATATATATAATACGGATTATCTGGTTAAATAAATATGTTTTAAATAATTCTAATAAAGGGACAATTTTGTAAACGGAGAAGGGAATTTGTTTTTCTCATAAGTTGCATGTAATGTTTTTATAAACAATCTTTTACGTACATATGGTAAAGTATTTGATTTTATGCAGAATTAAATGACATATTAAGTAATTATTGAATATTCATTATACCTAGCCTCGCAATCAGCAGGGGTGGTACTTCAAAAAAACTTAGTTATAAATGAGATTAGTGTCAGATCAGAGTCAGTATACACGCCTTAATTATATTAAATCATTTATTACTACAATTAGTGAGAGTTCTGTAATGGTGATAAATTAAAATTGTTGCTTGCAAATAATATTTTTCGAAAAGTGTCATCAAAAGTCGACATTTTCGTTAAATTTCCAGTTGCCACTCTTTTTTGTCACCTAGCTGGCAGAAGGGACAGTTGACGAATTTATGGTCTACGAATACTTTATAAAAATAATATGTAGAGACTAGAGAACAAAAAATTCCTTTAAAAATGTGTAGATATATTAATGATATGTATAAAGCTACACTTATGGTATTAAGAACTATTTCTTCAAACTGAATTAAATTCGATTCGCTAATCCCTATAAAAGTAGATCAAAAAAACATTGTAATAGGCTAGTTGACACCACCAAGCGTTGATATACTTTTTACGTTACGTTACGTTGCGTTACAAAACGCAATTTTTCCAAAGATTATTGAAATATAATGCAAATTAAAAGCGTCAACATAGTAGTCGTAAGGTGGTCCAGTCACTTTAATTTTTTTCGACATGTTGCACCCCTTCAACTTTAATGAAACTTGGTTGGTTGCTGTTGGACAAGACATATACAATTATTACATATTTTTTTCAAAGTAATTCAATTAGATCTGATAGAAATCGATTTATAAAATATTTATTTGCCTTTTTTTAATATTTTTATTTTGGCTTGGCCCATAGCAACTGCTATAAATAAACTGTAAAGTGTACCATAACACTGCCATTTAGATTTATTTTCTTAGCTTTGAAATTAATTAAGATATACCGCTTTAAAAAAAAAATCGTCTATCGACACTTTTTTTTCAAATAGCTCCTAAATTAACTAAGATATAGATCTACTCGATCAACTACTATTAGCGCCCTCTACAATACAACATAAGTTACAATATAGGTTCCTGTTGGGGGCAGTTTCGTCATGGAAGTACGACTAGACCCTTTGCCGAAGGGACAATTAGTAAAATAGAAAAGCAGTTTCGCGAGCTTGGCAGATGTAAGATGTAAGGCAGGTAAATAAAACATCTGCCAATGCAATAAGTGATGATACCAGATTGTACATTATGCTTGAGTTTGAGGAAAACCCAATTACTTCTAGTCGAAAAGCGGCCCCAATGTTCGATGTTAGCCATTCATCGATTATCATCCCTATAAAATGAAACCAACTCATGAGCGCATGGAAGACGATTTTGACAGGAGAACGTATTTTTGTGAACAAGTGATGGCAATGTTAGGTAACAATGTGATCCAATTAAGACATGTTTTGTTTTCTGATGAGCGCACCTTTACACCTTTACACTTCACGGTCATGCTAATCAAATAATCAAATAATTTTCTGTTTTTAATGTTAATTTTTGCAATAAATCAACATTTAATATTTCCGAAACAGTTGAAGATAGGTATCGGACATGTTATTCTGCAACTCTCATTACACATAACTGTTTATCTGGACATATATCTATGTAGTTTTAAAATAATATAACAATATCTATTTGTGAAACTGGTTATATTTTTAAATGATTCAATAATTGCAATCGTCATGGGGGTTATTAATTGAAAGACTGTTGAGTAAAGATTATTTTATTGAACCATTTTTTTATAAAAATAAATATGAATTGTTCTCCACTGTCAGAATGCCACCATTTATGGCATTAACCATTCACTACATTTACATCCTAATTAAAATAATATTTATTTACAAAAACAACAATTACAGTCAAGAGCAACGATGAGCTGACGGCCATAGCACCACCAGGAGTCGTCGGCGCCTCTGTAGTGGTTGGTTCGGGGGTTGGTTCTTCGGTTGGTTCAGGGGTTGGTTCTGGGGTTGGTCCGGGAGTGGTACCTGGGACAGGAACAGTGGTTTCGTCGGTAGTTTCATCGCCCAAGCCGTAATACGTGTAGAAGTCTTCTTTGTAGGTGTTCACCCAGTCTACTTTTTCTTGAGCTGTGGCAATAGCGGTGTTTCCAGCAGTTACTAAGTCTTCCAGAATTTCTCCGGATGTAACGAAACTGGTTAGCTAAAAGAAAAAATAAGACGACATTTAATAAGATTTGTCGGCAGTTAAATCCATGGTGATCAGTTGCTTGTATACAATGCTTTTCCGTGTTGTTCCGTTTATAGTTCAGTGAGTTTGAACCGGACCAAGTTAGTGACTGGAATTGATACATTGTATATTTAATGGTTTTATCACATTAGTCTAGATCATTCATATACAGTTTTCCTTTTTTTTAATTTCTAGGATTTTGTCGACTCAAAATAAAATACTTGTTGCTTTACTTCTTTAAAATAATCACTTACCTCTTCAACTTCTGCCTCAGTTCTAAACCTAGCTGCTATATTGTTCAAAAGATTTCCTGCTGATGTCAAACTCCCTAAACTAAAATTGGACATTTTAGAACTTTCTACCAGGACTTGTTTCTTATAAGACTTACCGATCATAGATGGCCTGCTGATTTTCCTTGAAGAAATTGAAAGCTACATCAACACCACTAGGATTTGCATAGACAGCAGCGAAAACGGATGCAGTGTCTTGTGACCTTATGTCTGAACCATTAGTCACAGACATGGTGAGGAATCTAAAACAAAGAGCAAAGCAAGTAGAGCAAAACTCAATACATTTCTGTTTAGGTCAGCAAAGTACAGAGCCTTTCGTCTACAATGAACAATGACAAACCGTTACGTCTACTCGTTGATTGGTTGATTAGAATCTCGTGAAAAATCACACCAATCACCATCGCAATTACTTTTTGGCAAGACTTACTCTGTCAGGATTTCTTTGTCCGTTATGCAACCCAGAGCTGTAAGGAAGTTTGCCTTGTTAGTTGAATCATCTGCTGCTACGTACTGCTCCAGTATGTGGTCCCATTCCTCCCTATTACCTTCGCTTCTAAGACCGTTACAGTAGACGGAGCTCCTTATGTTTTTGGGTGGGCTGGAAACCAATACAAAAATGAAGGATAGAGATCTTAGAAAGTACAAGTGAATAACACTTACAGAGTTCCATTTTCCTTGAAGAGAGTGAAGTGCTGCTTTAGATCCGCTAAACATACTTGATGGTGGAGTTTGCAGGCCAGGTTAGTGGCGAGTATTTGCCTCAGAGTGTACAGCTGATCATCTTCGCTTATAGCTGAGGCGGGGGCAGAGTTGTATAGCTTGTCGATAAGACCAACTATATGATTCTGAAAGATTTGTTAGTGGTGATAGAATGTAAGATATGTAACGACGTAATTGTAAACAAGAATGGAGTAAATGCAAGTCAGAAGAAACGTTCTAGGTAAATGTAACAGCAAAGGAAGCAAACAGAAAATGGTTTCAACCACTATCATCAACTGTTCCAATAAACAAAATCTTGCATTCATCTGATACAAAAACTGTTGGGACTAAATATCCATATATTTTGATAGATGGCTTACCTCTCGAGATTCCATCTCCTTAAGTAAGCACGAAAGCAAATACTATTATTTTAAATATAAAAAATTATCTACAAAACCGCATCTCATTTACCTGCATGACTTGACCCAAGCGTGTGTGCAACCCAACGTTTTCAAAAACGGTACTCAATTCCGTGTTCACTGCATACCAACTGAAGTATGAATCGTCCTTTTCCAAGAATTCGATGATGGTAAAGGCTTGGGTGTAAGTCATCTTGTCGTATTTGGCGTATTCCAACACGTCGTCGGTTATCTGTGCCCTGTTCAATTCGGGAATTCCAGAGAAATCATCTTCTAAAAGAGCCGCTGCTAAAGCGCTCCAAAGCTCTGCAGTGTAGTTCACTCTGTAGAAAGCTGGAAAATAACAATTCTCATCAGGTTGCTAAATCTTGATAACTGGGAAACGATTCTAAAATTAATTATTAACACTTGCCTGTTTCAAGGTTGTTCAGAATTATCCACTCGGCTCCAGTTGGTAGGGCAATTGTCAGACTAGAATTTGGTGTCAGCCATCCAGCAGGGGCCGTACTCTCGAACTTGTTTTCGTCTACAGAAGTTGTGTAGCTGACAGGTACATACCATGCGGATGTTGTGTCTTCTTCGGTAAGTAAGAAACGTTCCTAAAAAAAATAAATAGGATTAGTCATAGCTACTTCATTAAATACTATCTTAGAAGAATATTCACGGAAATAAACTTTGCTTTGTTAATAGAATTAGATCCACAGAAGTCTAGGAAGGAGGCTACTGAATCAGTTATTGAGTTAATTGAACTTTGTAAGCATAAAGATGCAAATCTTTCTTGAGAATGCGCTGTATAAAGCTTCTGGAAATGTTTGGAAGTGAGTGAAAGATTACTAGTTTAACAAAACTCTATTAAGAAGGATATCATCTTAAGAACAAATTGTAACATCCTTGTGAATAAGAAGATTACGTTTATGCTCTAGGAAAAGTTATTTGCGATCCTTTTATAGTGATAATTTTATTACCTGAGTAATAACGACATTGTCACCATCTCGTTCGACTCGTAGGATTGGAAAACCTGATTTCTTTATCCAGTTCTCCATGATAGTCTCTAAGTCAGCTGGAAGCTTAGAAATACTGTCGTCAATATGTTGACTAAATGCCCACCACAGATCTTCTGGTTTGGTAGCGGTAAACTTGCTGAAATTAAAAAAAAAAATGTGAATCTGATGGAAGCCAATAGAAATTACGACTACTTGTAAGAATTGTATTTTTGATACAAAAACTGATCTCAAATTTTTCTAGTACGTAGGTAGTAATTTTATTGTTATTAGCACTATTGTTATTAAGTTTGCTTTATATAACTTACTAGGTTTCTAAATAAGTGTTAATTCCAGCTCTAAAGCTTTCAGTACCCAGAAAGTGTTCTACCATTCGAAGAATGCTGCCACCTAAAAAACAAGGAAAATATGTATATTTATGTCCAAAAGCTTCTATATTCTATGATTTTTCGATTTTTAAAAAGATGAAACCCACTACTGCGACCAGTTCACCACATAGCCTAGCTCCAGAACAACAACGGTAGATTAAAGATTCTTAGCTAAGGCTAAGGAAATTCAGTGTAAATCTGTAATTGGCGTCATAAAAACCCAAAAAATCATGGTATGTACAGGGTGATTCACTATATTTTGACCCCCCTTTAACTTTTTTGTTTTAAGAGTTATAAAAAAAAATGTGAAATATAAAAGTTGCACGATTTTTTTCGAAATTTTCGAAAATGATAGAAAAGTCCAAACAAAATGGCTGCGGATGTTAACTTTATTAATTTAAATGGGACACTATGTATATTTTTACATATTTGGATAGAACGTTCCCTGTCGAGCATAGTCACACAGGGTTTGTTGGGTCTATCTCTAACAATAAGCGAGATAATATTAAGAAACGAAAAAAANAAGCCTTATTTATATATGTGATGTACATGGTGATCACAATACGGTTGAGCTGTTGAGAGCTCCCAAGAGAACTGAAGGAATAGTTAGCATTTGAAAGTGATAAATTAGGATTCCAAATTAAACCAACCTTACGCTCTACGAAACTAGTATGTGAGAGGGGGCAAGCAAATTTTTTCTGGACTACCTTCAGTACAACTCGCATAATAAAAGTGTAGATCCCTAGATCTGGGCGAGGTCCGGAACATTTTCAAAGTTGCAAAAATGTTTAAAAAAATACCTATTTTATCTGAGTTTTTTACTTATATCTTGGAACCTAAGCATTTTGGAAGAATATTGAAGAGGAAAAAAAAAGGTTTAGAATTGAATTTTGCGCAATATACTGCAAGTTAAAAATGTTTAAATTTATTATCGATGTTGCAAAATAGCAGTAATTGATGAAAAAAAGGCAAAATATTTTTTTAAAAGATGCGTCTTTCCGAGTACTTTAAAATTATAATTTTTGAAAAAAACTAAATTGCAAATTGATAAATAAAATAAAAAAAGAGTGTTAACTTTAAAAATTTACTGTGGCCGTCCTAATTAACCGATTTCAATTTTTCAAAAACCATTTGAAAAGTTGAGCGGTCTTTTCTATGTGAAAAAATTTTCAAGTTTCTAGATGCTTTATTTGAGGCTGTGCAACATTTTGAAAATTCGAAAAATTCAAAATTTTTTACAAAAAATTATTTTACGAAAACTATTGAACCGATTTTAATGAAATTTGGTATGTTGTTTTATTATATCCAAAAAACTTGATTATTTTGCCTTTTTTCCATCAATTATAGCTATTTTGCAACATCGGTAATAAATTTAAACATATTTAACTTGCATTATGTGCAAAATTCAATTCTAAAACTTTTTTCCTCTTCAATATTCATCCAAAATGCATAGGTTCCAAGATATAAGTAAAAAATTCAGATAATATAGGAATTTTTTTAAACGTTTTTGCAATTTTGATAATGTTGCGGATCCCTCCCAGATCTAGAGATCTACACTTTTATTATGTGAGTTGTACTGAAGGTATTCCAGCAAAAATTAGCTTGCTCCCTCTTACATCTAAGCAGTGGGATATTTCGACAGATCCGCTCTGATCTATGATGGAGAGTGAAAGGTGAAGGCAAAATATTGNTTTTCAATTTCGTAAGGATTTAAATTTAGTTATAATATATTTTAACATATCGGACATTGATATAGTCCAAAATGCGTATATGTATTTTAACTAAATCTCACTAATTAGACCGTGAGAGGCCTATTTTCTCATGGACAATGTTATATGGTAGATCGTGATAGTGACAGGTAGTAATGTCATGACAACATTGTTATTAATTGACAGTTTGTATTATTATTTAATTAAAATAGGTTACACAGAAGTAGAAAATTGAAATTTAGAATTAAAACAGAGTATGGAGAAAAACTTTACTCTATTTTAATTCCTATAATATTTCAATTTTCTACTTCTGTGTAACCCATTTTAATTAAATAATAATACACATTGTCAAACAATAACAATGACATTGTCACTGTCACAGCCTACCATATAACATTGTTCGCGAGTAATTAGGCCTCGCACGGCATAATTAGTGAGATTTTGTTAAATTACCTATATGCATTTTGAACCATATCAATATATTGGAATATATCAAATTATATTATAACTAAATCTGTAAATCCTTACGTAATTGGAAAAAAGGCAGAAATGCCTGAAAGAGTTGTAACAATTACAAGATGTCTTACTTTCTTAATAAAAAAAACCCTTTCGTTTTTTAGTACATAGTATCTCGCTCGTTGTTAGAGATGGATATATGCCTATGCTCCACAGGGAGCGTTCTATCCAAATATGTAAAAATATATAGGGTGTTCCATTTAAATTAACAAGGTTCACATCCGCGGCCATTTTGTTTGAACTTCATTTTTTTCTACTATTATTTTCGAAAAATTCATAAAAAATCGTGCAACTTTTGTATTTCACATTTTTTTGTAACTCTAAAAACAAAAAAGTTAATGGAGGGATCAAAATATAGTGAATCACCCTGTACATACCTTGATACTGCATCATCAATTTTTTTTATACACGTGGCTCGGAAAGTGTTATAGACACCAGTTTAGGTGGGTATATGTATGTTAATTACGGTTACATTTTAAAAATATTTTGAAATATACAGGGTGTCCAGGAAAACCGTACCATATCAAAGTTATGTATTTTTAAATGGAAAATAGGTAAACTTTATTAAAGACTGTTTGTGAGATATTTCAATTTTAGTGAAAATGTAGGCTTAGCGTAGAAATTCAATATTAGCAATAAAAAAATAATTTTAAGGGAGCAGCTTTGGAAAGAGTATTTTAGATCCTTGAAATTACAAATTATTATATTTGTCATCACTTAGTATTATACAGGGTGTTCAAAAAACTGCTGGATACATCTCAACTTTAAACAGCAATAACTTGGTTATTTTAAATGGAACACCCAGTATATTTCTACTTTGGAAGTTAGGAAAATTAAAACTCCTTCAAGCTGTGTCTAGGTTCCCTATACCTATCTCTAACGGTATTGGAGCTATTTGTGCCATTTCGTTTCTTATCGAATTTTTTTGTAAGATGTATCCACGTGTCTTTATCGAGGTTTTTATTGAATTGGTAAAGCGTCAATCATGACAATATTCAAGGAAGTTTTCTAATATTAGGAACATGAAAAATATTTATTAAAGGAAATTCTACTTTTAGAAGAAACAAAGAAAAATTTTAATTGATGATCGAATTGATACCATTCTCTTGAATACAGCATCTCATTCTATCTTCAAATGATATTATCACATTCCTTAGAATATCTAGGGTGGTTGTGGGAAGTGCATCTCTAATCCTTTCCTTCATATTATTGCAAGTAGTAAGTCGAACACTGTGTACAAGATTTTTTTTACCTCGAAACAAAGAAGTCGATTACGGTGAGGTCTGGATACTTAAGTGGCCACTGACTGCACCATTTATTGCTAAATTTTCGATTTAAATAATTTCTCACTGAATATGAAAGCTTTTTAATTTCAGAAACGTCGTTTCGATACACTACGCACGCTGCTGGTTTAAAAGTGATCGCAACATTTCAGTCTTTTTTTTTTGGTTTGTACTACTCGTCACGAAATATATACCTACCTTTAGAGTAACTTATTGTTCCGAATTTGTTACTGATCTGGGTTGGAGTTGAAGCGACGGATTGAAGTGCCTGGGAACTTAAATAAGAGTCAGTTGTAAGAACGACCTGGTGAACTCGAACGACAAAATGTTTGTCCAATTGCCAGTCCGGTAGTACCTGCAACCGAAGATTTAAAATGTGGAGAATTTTGTTACTACATATTATAGTAGATTAAATGTCTTATCTTGTTCATACTGCCTGTCACAAGCACTCTAATAAAGAAAATAAACCAAAAGCGAATCAAACTTTGCAATCAATAATTTAATATAACTTACATCATGGGCTGTGAAGAATTCGGTGTAAGTTGCAAAACCTTCGTTCAAGAAAATTTCGGACCACCAACTGCAGGTTACTAAGTTGCCGAACCACTGATGTCCGAATTCGTGAGCGATAATTGTAGCTACGTATTGTTTGTAAAGATTTGTTGATTCTAATGGATCCCAAAGCAAGTAGTATTCTCTGAAAAAAGTAGAACACAATTAATTAGAAAAACTGTAAAAAATATTACAATCACACATAATATACTACACTGGTCATAAATAAAATTATATAATCTATAGGGCGTTTCTGAAATAATAATTATTATTATAGGGTACCAAATAAGTAATATTCAAGTTTAGATCGAAAGAAAGCAAAGAAAAGTTTTACTAGAACTCCGTTGTCTTCATAAGCACGACCTTATCTTATCCACAAACCCCAATCGTTTTAAGGAAGTAGAAACGGTTTGATGAATGTGTTCAAAGAAACTTAATTTATGGTCGAAATATACACCCAAGTCTTTAGTTAATAACGTTATTTTCAAAAAACTCATTAATGAAAACAGTGGGCATATTGATATCGATGGGGCAGTCCCAGTTGTCATCAAACTATATTCTAAATGACTCAACTATAGCATTCGAGTTATGTAACTCTTGATTTTCAATAGCGCGCAATACCTGGAATTTTACCGACACCTTTTTTGTTATTGACAAAAGACCAAAACTTTTTTAGGTCCGTTTTAATGTCACTTGCATTCGCTAAATAATTTTTGTAGTCCCTATCAGCAAGAGTTTTTGTTTTAGATTTAAAATTCTTAAATTTATTTAGGTTACTGATACTTTTATGTTTTTTGTGTGGTGCTTGAAATGAATAACTTTTATTAAGTCTAAATGCTTCTGCTTTCTAGAAATTTAATTAAGAAAATTAACTATAAAAGTTAGCCGACCCTGTGCATCTTGTGCACGTACAGGACCAGAATGCTTCGTGACTTCCACAATCAAGCAAATCTAGTATATCAGTATGTCTTTAGTTGTGCGTAGCAATATTACTTAGCCGGCGTATAAAATGTTATCTGAACAAGAAAGTCCGCAACATTGTTTCGACAACTAAGAGAACATCATAAACCTCTTTCTACTACTTTCTCACAGACGTGACTTGAATACAAGAAATATAATAGAGCTTCGAGTGCCCTTAAAGTATTTTTAATATTCTGTCGCAATTATTCCAACCCACGTACCTGTAAGTGACTAATCCCCAGTTCTCCATAGCACCAGAAGCGAAATCTGGAATAGCAAACTGGTCCATCTTACCAATGGCGGAAGAGTAATTGTATCCGGTAAATTCACTCAAGCTGTCTAACATCTTCGATCCGATTTCTACAGCGAAAGCACGGTTATCCGCCTCGTCGTCTCTGGAACATACTTGGTAAGGGGCATCTCCCGCTGGTTCACCAGCAGTACATGTGAAATCTGATATGACGAAAGCCACGAGGTAGGTGGACATGACAGGTGACTTTTCGAATTGGTACGTTGTGAAGTTGTTCTCTCTGGAAAAGATATCAACATTTAGATCAAGATGTTACTTGGGTAGGAAGGTATTTTTTTGTTGTATTGTTCCAGATTTTATTAAACACTGTAATATTTAACCGAAACGACTTACGAATCTGTTAAGACGGATTCCCCTAGAGTGTTGGACCACGCAGTGTACTCTGATGGGTACGTGATGAGTATTTGGAAGGTAGCTTTAAAGTGTGGTTCGTCAAAGCAAGGGAAGGCCCTCCTGGCATGCGTAGGCTCAAACTGTGTCGTTAGTAGGTACCTAGTCTCACCATCTATAGTGTAACTGCTTTTATAGAATCCCCTGTAGTTGCTTCCGAAGGTACCAGTGTACTCGATGGCCAAAGCGTACTGGGTATTAGCTCTCAACCCGCTAGCGTAATTAATCCTTAGGATATCGGTGGTGCTGTTGACGAAGTAGTCTTCACTGTCGATGTACTCGTTGTTCAACTGAATGCTGGAAATCTCAAGATTCTCGCTGCTGGCGTGGAGCAAAATCCTCGCTGTGCTGGTGGTGACAGTGAAATAGATGACAGCTGTACCAACGAAGCTGGTACCAGATTCAGTGTATGCTTCCCTTGACGTGTTAAGGTGGACTTCGTAGTGTGATGGTTGGAAAATCTTGGACAGTCTGTATTCGGGTTCCGAGCTCTCGTTTTCGTCAACTTCGACCTCTTCTTCGATACCGTAGTATTGGTAGAAGTCAAGTTTGTACTCTTCTATCCATTCTATGTTGGTTTTCGCGGACTCGAGCGCCGTGGTAGCGGCGGCTAGGAAGGATTCGCTTAGGTCTCCAGATGCGATGAAATTTTCCAACTAAAAGTGAAAAAGTGCAATAGAAGGTTCTCTGGCAACCCCATATGGAAAGAATAGTATAAAGAAGCAACTTAATATCACTACAATTATTTGAGAAGTTTATTAAGGTTATAATAACGTATTAATGTGTGAAAATGTCACGTTACAACAGTTTTTCGTTAATTATTTGCATTTGTTTCGTTTCCAAGTACAATTTCTTTTACGAAGAATGACATGAAATAATTTTTTGAAATAAATGTCATTTTCTCGCAATATCTCGCTTGTTATTTGAGATAGATCCATCAAACCTTACATCACTATGTTCGTAAAAGAAAGCTTTATCCGAATATGAAAAAATATACAGAGTGTTCCATAAGAAAAAACAAGTTTATTGGCCGTTTGGTTTTTGTGGGTCACCCTGTATACAACTCAATCATCTTGAAAGATGCTCCCTCCAAGAACAAAATCGAACTGTCTCGCCGTTTTTTTTAAAAATCGCTCAGTATAAAAGTTATGAATTTTATTCCAAACTTTAAACTTTAAATGGCTCATAGAAAATAATATATAATTCTTGGGTTCTTACCTTTGTGATTTGTTGCGCGTTGGTAAAACGTGCTGCTATACCAGACATAATATTCGCCAAAGAATTCATGCTTTGGTAGCTACAAGAAAAAATAGTTTATTAGTATGTCGTTCGTCCAGACAAATCCGTTTATTATTAATTTTACACCCTCTGCAGGAATTGAAGGAATTATTGGGATACTTACTAATCATCAATTTCTTCATAATATTCTATGAGAAAATCGAAAGCTACGTCCACTCCTAAGGCATTTGCGTATACGGCAGCAAATACAGAGTAGGCGTCTTGAGATTTTATTCCAGACGTTGCATTTATCGATAGAAGGAGATAACTAAACAAAATTTTTTTACATTAGTTTGATAAACTATTCACGAATTAATTGTTATTCGTAACAGTCCCACTTTCAAATTTTAATATTTTGACCGTTAATAACTGAAATAAGATACAGACACTTACTTTTTCAAGGTTTCTGTGTCAGTGGTGCACCCCAAGGCAGTGATCAGAACTGCCCTTTCTGTCGCAAGTTCAGTATTCAAATAAGTTTGCCACAAGAAGGCCCAGTCGGTAGGATCTTCGCTGTGTCTAAGACCGTTACAGTAGACGATGCTCTTTAGGTTCTTGTTGGGACTGAAAACGAAATTGGAAAATATAATCACTTCTATTTCCAAACTTTGAGCCAGCAAAATATGTACCTGACATTGTTGACTTTGTATTCATTGAAAGCTTCCTTGACAGAACTAACACAATCTTCAATACCTAGACTGCATGCCCAGTTGATTGCCAATACTTGCTTCAGAGTGTAAATGTGATCTGTTTCATTTAAGACAGACATAGGTACTGACTCCTGTAAGTTGTACATCAAATCCGAGATGTGTGCCTGGAAATAATGACTATAAATAGTAACTTGATTGAAAAAACCAGGTTTGCTTTTTTACTGGAACCAAACTAGATTTACAATTTCTGAGGATTAAAATTGATGCACTTACCGAGATCGCTTGCCCTATAACGGAGTCTCGTCCGAGACGTCCGAGCAGATAGTTAAAGCCTGTAAAGGCGGGATACCAGGGGAAATACGAATCGTCGTTTTTCAAGAATTGGACAATCTCGAACAATTTAGAATAAGATATCTTGTCTGTTTTAGCCAAATTGAACACGTCATCGACGATTTGAGCTCTGTTTACGTCTGGTATCCCGGAATAATTTTCACTGGAAAGAGCTTCGGCGATACTGGTCCACGTGTCGAGATCGTAGTTGACTCTGTAATAACCTAAAAGGAAAATAATATCATGCATTTAAGAAAAATTAATTGCAAGAAAGGAAAAATGATTTTGAGTGTTTGCCACACCAGGTGATCTGAATATTTAAGCAGTAATTGCATTGTTATTTAAGCTTTGTTGGTATGAACAATATAAAAGAAGAAGGAACGCACACTAAAACAATAGACATTAGATGATGTACTGTAATAATATGACTATCACCTATTTCGTAGTTGTTTAATATCAGCCACTCGGCATCTTCTGGAAGGAGGATTGTCAGATCCTCATCCGGAGTCAGCCAACCTTCCGGGGCAGTAGTTTCGAACCCATTAACATCTGCAGAGGTGGTAAATGTAATTGGAACGTACCATTTTGAAGTCCTATCTGTACCAGATAACAAAAATCTTTCCTGGAAGCAAAAATTATAATCAAAACATCTATAGGATATAAAAACATAGACTTCACTGAATGGAGGCAGTACTTTAATAAATTTCGTTAGTTTTATTCGTTGAAGGAACTTGAAATCTTTGATAAACATTATTATTTTTTTACCTGAGAAATAGTAACAGTTCTGTTACTAACGGTCACAGTAACAAGTGGATAGCCTGATCTTTGAACCCAGTTTGCCATGACTGTGTTTAAGTCGGTGCCTGATGGTAAGTTTGTGACGGTGTCATTAAGGGTTTCACTTAGTGAAGACCACAGGTCCTCTGGAAGAGTGGTTTGGAATGCACTATAAAGTAATAAGAGCTTTAAAGATATTTTTTTCATGAACTGTAATTTCAGTGTATCAGATTATTTTGAGAATTTATGGAAACTATGAAAAGTCACGAATTTATTTCACAGCGAAAATAACTAGATTATCAGTGTACTTACAAATCTACGAGATAGTTGCGGATTCCTTCTTGGAACTTGTCAGCGCCCATTGCATTTTCAACCATGCGGATAACACTGGCGCCTTGTAACAGAAAACTTAAATTAACAACCAGATAAATGAATACCTACTCCACATAAACAAGATACACATGTTATTTTTCGTATACAGACAGAGTAAACTAAGTAATTTAAGGATCATCATCAAAACAATTATGTACCTACCTTTACTGTACGTTATGGTTCCAAATTTTGCAGATACTTCGGAAGGAGTAGAAGCATCTGACTGCAATGCTTGAGCGGTTAAGTACGAGTCAGTCTCCATAACAGTTTGCAGCACAAGTATCACAAATTGTTTCTTCAATTCCCAGTCTGGAAGAACCTGGAAAGCAGCAGGAAAAGAATCAAGTTAATTCATTGTGCAGCAGAAGCCAGTGCCAACTGATTTGATTTAAGGATAAGTATCAGAACACCTCATTCTTTAATAATACCCATTCGTATACATACCTCGTGTAAGATGGAGTATTGCAATAATCTGGCAAATCCTTCATTTAAGAACGTTTCTGACCACCAGTTGCAAGTCACTAAGTTCCCAAACCACATGTGAGTGATTTCGTGGGCAATAACTGCAGCAATTGATTGTTTGTAGCTGGTGGCTGATTCTTCGGGATCCCATAACAAGCCTGTTTCTCTATAAATAAGAATTTAGATACATTTTGCTTATCTCGAAGGCCAAATAAGACTTTCATAGTCTCTTAGTAATATTGTGATGAGTTTAATTTGTCCACTGTTCTAATTTCATGGTGTTTACATTGAAGAATTTTAAGTGATCAATTCAGTCGTCCTTTAGATTATTTCTTGATGAAAATCCGTCGTAATACTGATGAGTGCAACGGACTAAATTAAGGTCCTTTTCTACTAGTTCCAGTTATGCTCTTATCAGGGAAAGAGGAATACGACTATCATTGGAAGAAAATTGGCGTCATAAAACTATTAATTGTAACCAACAATCGTTTGTCCTCGATCTTTCACAACGACTTGAGAATCAATTTACTGACATTTTCGTTTTCAAACAAAATTATAAAGTCAGTTTTACGAAGTCAATTTTTTCCCAATGGTTGCCATTTCCTTTTCTCTGATGAGGGCATATCCGAAACTAAGGAAAATAAATGTTTAAATGTTTAAACTGAATAAAAAATAGTTTAATGTTTAAACTGAATAAAAAATAGTTTAATGTACTCCATCGCATTTTAGATTATTGGCTACTAAACTTGGACTAAATTAAATTTGTTGAATATATCAGATACTCAGTTCATGTAATTCCTAATCGTCCTAATTCCTACGATAGGCACGAAAAAAATCGTTATCAAACTATCACTTTTGTAGTTTAAAATAAAGCAAAACGTCATGTGCCAGCAAGTATAAATACCAATTTCTGAGTTCCTTTTGAATAAACACTTATAACCAAGAACCCTCTACCTGTAGGTAATAAGTCCCCAGTTCTCCATAGCACCAGCTGCAAAATCTGGAATAGCCACTTGGTCCATCTTGGCCATTACCGAACCGTAATCGTAGTTTGTATACGTGTTGAAGGCTGTTAATATTTTCGGTCCAACTTCGACTGACCAATCTCTTATATCGGCAGTTTCTTCTCTGGAGCAAACTTGGTAAGGAGTGTCGCCTATGCTTTCACCAGAAGTACATGTGAAATCTGACACTATGAATGCCACTAGGTAGGTGGACATTATGGGCGATATGTCGAACTGGACGGTGGTTAGGCCATTTTCCCTAAAATCAACAAATTATCTTTATACAGAGAGTTAAAGGACTAAATAGTAATGAAAAGGCTAGTATCAAAGTAAGATCTTTTTAGAATTATTGTGTTGAAATATTTAGCAACGCTTCAAAAATTTAAAGGAACAACATATTTATTTCATCTATTTCAGCAAGTAGATTAATAAGTTTGAGGTACTTAGTATCCTTATTTCAGAGAATAACTGACAAATGAGAAAGCATAATATCAGCAAATGGAATTAATAGCAAGGAATACTAATAAGTTTAAATAAATATATTTCTGTTTTCTGCTATATTAAATAAATAACCAGTTATTTTCATGCTCTCTCACCGTGGGGTAATAAATAGACATATGAGAAAGTAACTTGAAGACACACTTACGTATCATTAATGCGGGAAGTCCCAGGTGTGTTGGAAAGAGCGTTCAGCTCGTCAGGAAAAGTGAGCAAAATGGTAAAAGTGGCTTTAAACGCAGGCTCATCCCAACAAGGAAAAGCCCTTCTGGCGTAAGTCGATTGGAACTGAGTCGTCGCCAAGTACTTAGTAACCCCGTCAGCATCCTCATAGCTACTCTTGTACCACCCGTACATGTCAGAGGTACTCAGCCGGCCCTCGAAGTTGATCAACAGGGCGTAACTCCTTCCTATCGACAAGCCTGTATCGTAAGAAATCGTCAGTATGTCGGTGGTTGAATTAACGGAATAATTCTCTTCTTCTATTATCTCATTGTTGAGTTGGATCTCCGTTAACGTAATAAAATTGTAGCTGGAATGTAGGGCTATTTCTGTGGTGTTCTCCAAGGCTTGGAATTGGATGACGACCGATCCTGCGTAGGCAGTTCCAGTAGCAGTGAATGAGTCGGATGAGATGTTGAGATGGACCTCGTAGTGCGTTGGAGACAACGTCGTTGGCAGTCTGTATGGATCTGACGTCGCATTCTGGAGGAAGACTGTTGTTACTTGTGAGAGGAGAAGCAGTAGTGTACAGATGTAAAAGTTGGCCATTTTGTTTTCTGGAATTCAATTTAACATTAATAATTTACCAAAAATTTAAGGCGGTTACTCTATACTGGAGGAAATAGGCTAATTCGAACAATTTCAAAAACTTTATTTTTAAATCTCAGCAAATGAAGTGAATGTTCTTCGATACCAGATACAACTGTTGATATTGCGTGAAACAACAACTCTATGGGCTACGTGCTCCAACTTGCATTGCATTGATTTACATCAACAATATCTAGTAAGCAACCAGTATAGTACATAGTTAACATCAAAAGTAAAATTCATTGCTGTGGAAAGTTTTTTTCCACCAAAAATACTTATTGTGCTGCTGATATTTATCAGCAAATGAGAAAAAATAATGACATGAGTATTAAAGTTATAAGCCTTTTTTTCTTCTACCAAATATATCCATCTATATTTTCAACAGAATTGGACTAATTGTAACTAATGATTAAGTAAATTTTGTTTGTCGTCTCCTCTAATATAAGATAGTAAAAACATTAATAGACACTTATGTCACCTTAGAGAATTAATTTGTGTAATCTTTTTCTAAATTATCTTAGACGAGATCGACATTTCTTCAATTTTAGACGCTTCATACGTGATAATAGCTCTTCAAATTTCAAGATATACATATTATTTATACGTATAAAACATCCATAACATAATAAACTTATAATTCACACGTAATAAATATTAACAGTCTGTAATAAAAAGATCAATCACATGGGCTTAATCTAGAAATGTGGATAAATCAGGATAAAAAAATGATATTAATAAAAATTTTAAAAAAGATTAGCGGCTAGTGTACATTGTATCTCACTATTACAATTGAATACAGTGCTACACCTAAGTGCTCACATTCTTTGCATATTTGTAGATGATAAATTACGTTTTACTATTAATCTTAACTTTCTACACATTATTTATGTTTTAATATCATAAAATGTATTATTTCAAATTAGTTTCAAATAAAGTAAGTCCACTTTTAAAGAAATATCAAATAATATCAAGTAGAAATTGAATTCGATAAAAAAACATACGGTAACTACGGGGAAAAAATAAAAGGTTATATAGGGCAGGTCAAACGAGTGCTAGTACTTCATATAAACTTTTTACCTAGGTGCCATTGTTGAGGAGTTATTGTCACTCAAAGTAAGAAGTTGAAAAATGAATATTGCCCATGATTTCTACAGGGTTACTTTGATTAACTTAAAATTTGGGGGATCAAAGCAACTCATTCAAATGTATCTTTGTACATTTAAAATTGATTCAAATATTTTTTATTATACAAGGACGGTCGAAATTATGTTTAAATTTACTAAATTTAGTCTAAAATTTACGCAACTTTAACACAGCTGTCAAATTTGACATTTCGCCCTCGTAGGCAGATAGCCCTGTTACTTTTCTACAAGAAAAGGTATACTCCATGACTTATGAAAAAATGAACGGTTGTCAAGATAAATAATTTTTTGTATTTTGTGTATAGCCACAACGCAATAGAAAAAAGTTAAGAATGAAACATATGGATTAAAAAAGGTTACTTCAGTAAATGCTCGATATGTCCTCCATCTAGTTCAATGCACTTCCTTATTCTTTTAAGATTATTTTGTTGTACTCTAAATAGCATTTTTGGATTCTGTTTAATTTCATTACAATGATGTTCTATTCTTGCCATCAACTCTTCTCTTGTATAAACCGGAGTTGAATACGCCAATTCTTTTAGGTAACCCCACAAGAAGAAGTCTAGGGGGTTAAGATCTGGTGACCTAGGTGCCCATAAGTGTGGTCCGCTCTCATTTAGTCATTCAATTCAAGGCAAAGCAAAGATTCATAGTTAATGTATGGGCAGGAATAATCGGTAACCCTTAGGCACCTTTTTCTTACCGGATAGATTAAACGGTGCCGATATTTGAATTTTTTACAACACGATCTAAATCTACTACTAGAAAATGTGCCATTGCAAACAAGACAGGAGATGTATTTCATGCATGATGGGGCACTGCCCCACTTCAGTCGTGAAGTTAGAAATTACCTCAACGCAACAACTTGGTGATAGGTGGATTGGGCGAGGCGGATAATGACTGGCCAAAGTTAAGTAAATTTTACGATTATAATCACAGATTAATTTACGACTATTATTATTGTATTAAGATATGTTTCTTCTTAATACTAACGTCTGATCTTAATCCCCAAAATTTTATCGAAATAATCTTAGATTAATATTTACTAAAACCACACGAAACATAAATAATGTTTCAATGATTTTGGCTGTGATATAATCCATTTATCAATTGTAAAATATATATATTTGCGTTAATATCTAATAGTGTATAATTAACAATATAAAACGTGAAAATTAACTTTCAGTCAAATTATGTTAATAATTTATTATTATTACTATGATTAATATTTATGAAACAGCATAATTGATTCGATATAGTAACACAATATGAAATGTCCTATAAAAACCAGATAAAAGAGATAACTATTCTATAGAGAATATAAAATTTACAACAATAATAAAAAAAATATGTATAGTAATATCCAGAAAGCAAGTGGATTTTTAAAATTGTTAAATCATTTAGTTCATTATTAATCACGATATTCTTACAGATAACAGTTATTTCAAACGTTTTAAAATGTATGCGCTAATCTCTGCAAATCATTAGTTATATCCCGATTTAAATTTAAAATTTTCAAAAATATGTTTAAAACTAAAATAATACAAATATAAACTCAAACAACCATTATCCGAAATAATTTGTGTTAAATTATACAATTAACTTTTATTTCCAGAGCAACTGAATAATTTAAATTTTAAATCGTTTACTCAAAATTAATTGAGCTTTCATTAGTTTTGATCCAATAGGTGGAACTACTTTTGAAATATCAAAATTTTAAATTACTAACACTTTGGCGCTTTGTATATTGAAAAGCAGCACCAATTGAACTCCCTATAGACTTATGACTGCATTTAAATATATTCTATTTAAACTTTTTCACTTTTGTAAACGTCATTTCTTACTAGATATAAAAATATATGCATAAACATTTGCTTTAGAAATTCTTTTTTCAAAATTTTGAAGCCTCTATTTGAAAAATATATCTATTTATGGTCTGAAAGAAAATTCAACAATATTTCAGTAAAAGGGAGCAGTATACGTAATTCAACAATTCATAAATAGCAATAATTTAACAAAATATCTTCTCTATCAGTAGAAAATATATATAGTTGCTAAGAAAAAAATTCCACTTACCTTTCAGAAAACAAAATGGACAGAAGTATGGGAGCAAAGAATGCTGCTGTCTTATTTATTAATTTCCTTTTATCTTATCAATTAATTTGTATGGATTATTCTTCTGCTCAATAACCCTCGGTTTTAATTGAACCATAAAACCGATTTCATATATCCCAATAAATATTTTGTTGGAATGATATTGGTTTCATTATGAATCATGTCACACCTTTGTATTTAAATGCCATATTTTTCTTCAGCGTAGCTAAAAAAATCTCCATTTGATCGTAAAAGTATATTAGGAACAATTTATCGTTAGAATTTGGATTACCTGAATGTGATAAGAAGCATCAGGATCACTGAATTATATGTTCAATAATATTTAACCATTTTAAAAATTATCTGCAGGTTAAATAATAGCACCATTTTATGGGGAAGTACACAAAATATTTTAATTAACAATAATTTTTAATTAAAAGAAATTATAATAAAATGTCAAGGATCTTGAATATATTGTTGAAGTTATACTTTTTCATGTTGTTAGGTATTGATGGTTTGTTAAATATTCTTATTAATACACCTTGTGTCTATATCACTGCCTGTTAGGCTTGCCTAGCACTATTTCTGAGGTCTTATATGAGTACCTGAAATTCGGAACTTCTAGAAATTTGCTGTAAACCTTGGGACCTTCACCGCAAATTGGAAAATGCCTGAGTGGATGATGTGCTAGAACTAAGGTGTAGGTCGGGATCAATGTGTTCGCAAAATTTTTAACAACCCTTCGAATTGTAAAAATTGGTGATTTATTGATAAAAATAGTATTACAATAAATAAATGTGCAATTTATGATCTGCAGAGGCTTCAGTCAATGCAAACAGCAATAAATTTAGGATGTACCACACATACTGGTCTCGTTCCGTTCCTGGCTAATGAACGGCAATGCATCAGAGTCGACGTTCGATCACATTGGTTGATGGGTCCACAGAAGTCTTTGAAATACTCAATGAAGATATTTAGTAATAAAAATGTATTGTTATTTAGCACCAAATCGGCAAATCTGGTAAATATAATTTAAATCCGTAAATAAAACGTAGGATTATTTAAAAAGTACAATAAAATATAAGTACATATAAAAAAATGTTTGGTACCATAAATATTTTTTAGATTACATATTCTTATGTACGTAACCATATACTGAGTCCTGAATTATGTATAACTGCGTGCACTAGAATTTTGGTATTATATACCAAAATTATAAAACTGGACTTCATTACTATAAAACTTCAATCCTACAGATTATTCCATTAGAATATGTTTTGTACCATGTTTTTTCGTTTTGTTAAGCACCTATGTACCTGGAATCTTTGACCTGTCCTTGCTGTTCTTGGGCTACACTCTGTGAGGGCAGACAAAAACTACACATATTTGGAATATAAAGAAGTTCATTCTGGAAACATATACTTTTAACACAGTACTTAGGGAAAGTAAATTATGCCGACCTACCGAAACGTTTTGTCTACGTATAAACTACGTATGTCATGCTGAAAGGTAACAAAGTATAATGTCTGGATACCTACTTCAAAAAGTGAACAGTGTTGTGCAAAAGTTAGTTGTATATTCTAAAATGAAACGTTGATGAAAACAAAATTGCATGAGTAAAATATACACGGTAGGTATCGCAAAAAAGTGGGTCAAGTCGTCAACCACAGATTCTGTTTTAAGGCTTCTTTTTCAAAACACAAGGCATCAAAATTATAATAAAAAGAAAATTC